GCGTTGGATCACAAATTTTGAGAAACACATCAAGAAGTTAGCGAGTCGGCTCGATAAGTTTTTGCAGAGTCTGGTGGATGAGAAACGTGCGGAGAAAGAAAAGGGTACCACTATGATAGATCACTTGCTTTCTCTCCAAGAAACTCAGCCTGATTATTATACAGATGTCACTCTTAAAGGAATAATACTTGTAAGTATTGTCGTATTGACTAATCCATATACTATCTTTAAGAACACTAATCAAGCTTTATGATTGCTAATAATCGATTTTGAATTTACAGGTTATGATATTCGCTGGATCTGAAACAATAGCGTGGACTTTAGAATGGGCGATGTTGAATTTGTTGAACCATCCAGAAGTGTTAAAGAAAGCTAGGACCGAAATCAATACGATAATCGGTTTTGACCGGTTAATAGATGAGTCGGATACTATAAATCTTCCTTATCTCCAATGGATTGTGTTGGAGACCCTACGTCTTTACCCGGTAGCTCCTACACTTGATCCACATATGACGTCAGAGGATTGCATGTTGGCAGGATACGACGTTCCACGTGGTTCGATGTTATTGGTGAACATATGGGCCATGCATAGAGACCCGTCTATATGGGAAGACCCCGAAATGTTCAAGCCAGAGAGGTTCGTAAATGAAAAGCTTAATCAAAAGTTGTTGTCGTTTGGGATTGGACGACGAGCTTGTCCCGGGGTTGGCCTAGCTCATCGGGTAGTGAGCTTGGCTCTTGGATCGATGGTTCAGTGTTTTGAGTGGCAGAGAATTGGAGAAGAATATGTTGACAGTAGAGAAGAACCCATGTCCTTGATGCGTACTGCGACACCGTTGCTAGCTATGTGTAAAGCTCGACCCATTGTACACAATATTCTAGTTGATTAGGGCATTTTAGTGAATGAATTACCTTGTGATGTAAGATAAGTTAATTTACATGTTAATCATGAAAATCCTAGCTTTTAATCACTATATGTAAAGGAACCATGAAGGTTCGAGTGGATTTCGGAACATATTTTAGGCGAGAACTAGGGTTATGTTCGGAACATGAACTCGTAAATTTTTTGTTGTGTTTACATTTTTAACCCTTTTATTTGATGATCTTCCGTCCAAATTATATAAAAGCAATGGGCTACATTAAGACAGTGTCACTAGTATAACAAATATTGAAATATTCCATGGCTGCAAAGTATCAATTTAAGAAGATATTAACCAACTTTGAAGCCAAAATGATATTAGTTTTCAGTTTAGAATATAACGTAGTAGAGATTGACTATGGATCGTTCTTTGTCGATCCAAAGATGTCAAAAAAATATATATAAATATATATATAACGTTACAACATGAAATGCTAAATTAATAAACTACATTATTAAGTATAATGGAAAACTTTAGCTTCTCTAAAATAATCTCAAGTATTTTAAAGAGATTATGAACACAAAAATAAAGAATTTTATTTATAAAAGTTATTAAGCTACGTGGGATTATAGTAAATTTGATTTTATAATTAACCTTAGAAAAGCTTGAGAATTTTCATGGACTAATGTCGAAAAAGACCATGCGGGCAGTTTGCCACGATACACAAATGTCAACGGCAGACCTTGCAACCTTAACTCTGCAGAAGTTCTACCGAAACTCTGTAGAAATATAGGATTAGCGCTGGTATCTAGAAAAATGTGTACCATGCATTAGGGATTTTTAATATATTAAAATATAGGATTACAAAGGGTAATATTACAATAAAAACAAAAATTTCTCTCCTTTCCCACAAAAACGCGTTTTTCCAACTAATCCCGAGCCGCCACGTCATCAGAGACTGGTATCACAAGTATCACTCCAGTGATACTGCTCAGACCCAAATCAATTGTTTTACCCATTAATTTAATATTTTTTGGCTTCTAATACATATAAAAAATCTGCTATGTACATGGTCTAATGTACTCATATTCAGATTATTGTGTAAAAACGTACGATTCTAACGAATTTCTTCTAAATTTATAGGTACAACAAAAATCTGCAATTGCAGTCAAACCAATCACCCAATTAATATGTAAATAATTCACAATAGAATATACTAATTTACATTTTTGTTATACTTTTAATACTTTTGTTGAAAAAAAAAACATACAGCCACAGGGAAAAAAACTTATATATGAACAAACTAAGAAACAAAAGATATTAAAACTGTAAATTTGAAAAGGGATTCATGATATTGATGAGACCGTATCTTTAAATAGGATTTTCAAAAAAAAGTTATTATCTTATTAATTAAAGAAGTCTGCGTTGTAGAGTTGAATATCTATTGTTGATTAATGAGTTGATTAGAACTTTGAGTTTTTTTTTAGTATCGTTTTGATCTTATCTCTTTCTTATTTATCGTTATTCTTAGTGAATCAATGATATTATCAAAAACCCTCGTTGAACGGCCATTCTTCGGATTCAACGGTTTTCGAGTTATCTCTTTGTTTATTTCTTGAATCAACAAACGTTGAGTTCTATTAGAGGAACTATTTTTAATTGACTCATTTTTTTACATTGTTCCCCTAAATTTGCAGTGGTTCACATCATCCTTATGTGTTGGTCTGCTGAGAATCATTGTTGCTACGTTCCTTATGAGTTGTTAGCTTATTAGAGTGTTAAAGACAAATGTTTCATCAGATGCCATATGGAGGAATTCATGCACATGCAATAAAATGCATCGTTTATATAATGGAATTCTATTAAGAAGCAAACAAAGCTATCAAGACAGTGATGATCATTACAAATTAAATAGACACATATCGTTAAAAGGTGTATATCATGTTGGCTTGGTTTCTCCGTCCTATGGGATATGACACCTAACGAGTAATGAGACATTTGTCTTTTAATCTCTTATAAGCTTAGCCATATGGGATACTACCATGTTGGCTTGGTTTCTCCGTCCTATCACTCTAACAATTGAATGGTGCCCTTTATTTAATGGCAACCAACACATTACGCAGGCAAACAATATACATGTAGAGAAATTACTGATGGGTTATTTGACTCTTTAGAAAAATTTGAACCTTGGTTAGACTAAGGAGATGTGTTGATACAGGAAAAATAGCTTAATAACTAATAGGTATATCTATCTGTTTTTCGTCGGAAACAGCTCTAACTGTCGTGGAAACAGACAAATTTGTCGGTCGATTGTAGAACGTCGGTATAGAAAATTTGTTGATGTCATTAATAATTACCAGCGGATTATCGAAGAAAATTACTCATGGGTTATTTGCCTCCTTAGAAAAATTTGAACCATGGATAGACTAAGGAGATGTGATGATAAGTGGTAGATAGATATCAACTTATTAATATTTATTTATTTACGTTTACAAGTATATAGTGATTTTGTTTGATTTTATAATATGTTAAACACAACTGAAAACTCAGATCTACTATTGTGTTTAACTTCTATATTATAAGTTTATAACATGTTTCAAACACAACTCAGAAATAAATAAAAAACAGATTATCTTCCATATCTCCGGAACAAATTAGTCTGACCATGAGTCAATGGCTTAATAACTTTAATTAAAAATTATATAAATATATTTACACAAACATATATATATCTATAATAATAATCTTTTGTAATATATGTATATATATATGCATATATATAAGTCTTTTAACTAAAATTATATATATATATATATATATATATATATATATATATATATAACTTTAACTTTGTTTTTAAAAACAATTTATTTTCGTTCGAATTCTAAGAACTATAGCTGGTGCTTGTTATAAAAATCTATTACCTAAAATTAATTTTTTTCATTATCTAATCCCGAGATGTTAAAACTAATTTTGTTGGCATTAAAATATTTTGATTGCAGGCACAGGAAACCATCTCCATGACATTCTTCTCAAGCTCTGTTTTCAAATCTCCATCTACCTACTTTGGAGAAAAAGAAATGCACGAATTCATAGCAATGAGTTCTCATCAACGGTACAAATCGACAAAATGATTAGAAATAGGATCACTTCGCTTAGTTACGGTTCTCGACCAAGGTTCTGTGAGCTTCTTCAAAAGTGGTTCGCGGTATCTCTTTCATCTACCGCAGGAGTCTGATATTCCCTCTATAGCCTTGCTTTCATTATGTCATAGTGCTAATTGAGTGACTACTATTCTTTTTCTGAAATTATTTTCAGCTGAACTCATTGTACATGCATATTTTTATATGATCAATAAATTACACATTCAAACAAAAAAAGTATATTTTTTAAATTGAAATATAATGTACATAAAAACTCTTTAAACCGCAAGTATTAACATTAATTCTCAAAATCCTAAATTTTTTTCTCTATCCAAATCATGGCGTAATTCCAAACTGAAGAATGGCAAAATACGAACGTAAGCATTGTAACAATATTATTAATCCAGAATATCTAAGAATTTGAAACATATTTTTTTTTACTTTTCATATTATTATTTTTTGTAATTTTTAATATTACTTGTTGCTATTTTTTTATGAACCAAATGCATGAAGTAATAAGCATTTAACTATGAAATTTATTTGTTTCTGAATAGTTATAGAGAATTTTATATAAGGTTTTACTATTAATTATATTTAAATTTTTTTATATTTTATCATAATAATATAAATATTTGGTGTTTTTATACTTTATATAATTTTAAAATTAAATTTATCACTGATCATTTTCGATTTAACTGATGTCGCATCCGCTAGTTAACCACCAACTTTCAACCGCTAAACCATTCGTCAATTAATTTAGATATAATCCTACAACGATCTGAACAATTTGACAGCTAAGGTCTAAAGCATATACGAATAAGTACTTTGTACTCGGGGATGTGCCTTTAGTCAAATGGTTAAGTCCATTTGACTCCGCCTTCTCCACCGGAGTTCGACTCCAGTAAGTCGCGTTACCCCGCGTAGTAAGGATTGACTATGGATCGGGCCTTGTCGATCCAAAGATGTAAAAAAAAAAAAAGTACTTTGTACTCAAACAAACCTGTGGTCACATGCTCTAAGTCGTTCATGAATCATTTTATCATAAATGTACATAAGTATCTATGTTATGTATATAAATATCTCCGATTCTATCGACATTGTAGCTAAACTTTTGACGTGACACTAGCAACAAAGTATATACCATGGAAACCTTGACCATTTTTGGACAAAAATGTGGAACTCAAGTCTCTCTTCTTTCTCCAAGTGCGGTGAGCAAACTCTCTCGCTTTCCACTGACATCATTTGCTCGTAAACCTACAAAGCAGGTTTGTTTGAAGACTACGGATTGTGACCTTGATGAAAGTAAGCGTACGTTTAACAAGTTTCCACGTTCTGACTGGGGTGATCATTTCCTTCGTCTTCCCATCAATGTCTCAGTGAGTTCATTACACACACACACATATACACATTACACATATATATAGGATTGGTGCAGGAGATATTAACAAGCTGGATTCTTGTAGGATATGGATACGCTTACAAGAGAGATGAACGCACTAAAGCCTACAATAAGGAAGATGCTCATGTATTCACAAGACGTGGAGGAGACAAAGAAGAGAATTCTTCTAATCTATTTGCTGGTCGCACTTGGTGTGGCATACCACTTTGAGGATGAGATAGATGATAATCTGAAACACAGCTTCGAAAAGATAGAGACCATTATGGCCGGTGAAATTGACTTGTCGACAGTTTCGGTCATGTTTTGGGTTTTTAGGACATATGGATATAACTTGTCTTCTGGTAAGGAGTATCAAGCTAGGCTTCTTATTAATGTTCAATAATTCTACTATACTTGTCTCCTTTAATTAATGGTCTATTTTTGTAAACAGATGTGTTTAGGAGATTTAAAGGGAAAGATGGGAAGTTTGAAAAATGTCTTAAAGAAGATGTCAAAGGTCTGCTAATTTTGTATGAAGCCACACAATTGGGTACAAGCACTGAGGATATTTTGGACGAAGCGATGAGCTTCGCGTCGAGCCACTTGGAGTGTTTATTAGCAGGTGGAACGTGCCCGCCTCATATCTCAAGGCTTATACGAAATGCACTTTACATGCCTCAGCACCACAATTGTGAAATATTATTCGCAAGCGAATACATTTGGTTCTATGAACAAGAAGATGTTCACAACAAAGTCCTACTTGAGTTCGCCAAGCTCAATTTCAAGTTCCTTCAACTCCATTGGATTCATGAGCTGAAAATTCTCACCAAGTAGACTACTTACTGTATCAGTCGCTTTTGACAACGTTTTCATGGATTAATTACTAATATATATGTTTTGCAGATGGTGGAATGACCAAGATCTTTTATCTAAGCTCCCACCTTACTTTAGAGACAGACTGGTGGAGTGCCATTTATATGGAGTGATTATGTATTTCGAGCCAAAATATTCATTTGGCAGAATCATATTGGCTAAGTTACTGGTGCTCTTGACCGTTGTCGATGACACGTGTGATAGATATGGTTCTGTTCCTGAGGTTGCAAAGCTTCTTGATTGCGTCGAAAGGTAATATGCTATACATATAATATGTAAGCTTAGCTAATGACTTAATCATCGTGTTAGTCGTTGAGAGAACTTCAATGAAACGAAGAAGAAGTAGAATAAATATTTTTATTTCTCTCACAAATATATGTTGATTACCTTAGGAACCTATTTATTATATAGAAGAAGGTTCCGGTTTACTTAATGTAAATACAGTCCATTTCTGGTTTTACCTAGACCATTCAATAGACCAATAATATCCAGTTTCTGGTATGTACGTGCAGATGGGATCCAGATCTTGGGGAGAGTCTGCCAGATTATATGAAAACCGTCTTCAAGTTTACTTTGGACGTTTTTGAAGATTGTGAACGAGCGGGGAGGTGTGAAGAAGGACAAAGCTTCAATGTGGAAGGTGCATTAGCTGAGGTAATACATATATAGTGTAAATTGCACATATTAATATAACATCTAATATTGAATACTACAATTCTATATTGGCAATAAAATAACAACACATCTATTTTTTTGTTTTTTTTTAAATGGATAACATCCTTTCAGATTAGGGACCAGAAAATTCATATTACGTATTTTATTTCTGAATCTTTGTAAATTTGGGACCAATTTATTTATAATTTGAGATGGAAAAACTCACGAAGCTTGACAATATGGAAGTAGAAATAGAATATTTATTTAAATTCGCATGTGTTCCTAATAATGCAGTTCAAGATACTCCAGCGAACCCATCTTAGCTTTGCTGAGTGGGCAGCGGCAGAAAAGGTGCCAACAGTTGAAGAGTATTTGGAGGTTGGGGGCGTGGGGGTCACAATGTATGCAACTATAGCATTGGGTTTTCTCGGGTTGGGACCGAGGGCTAGGGAACAAGGTTATGAGTGGCTAAAATCTAGACCAAAACTCGTTCATGATTTGGCAACAAAGGGTCGTCTGATGAATGACATGGGAGGCTTCAAGGTACATATATATGACTCACATTGTTTCAAATTTCTTCTTCTGAGCTAAGCAAACATGAATGGTATGAACAGGATGACATTGGAAGAGGTTTTATCGCAAACGCAGTCAACTATTATATGAAGGAATATGGAGCTACCGAAGAGGAAACATATAAGGAGTTTCATAAAATAGTTAGAGACCTGGAGAAGTCGGTGAACTCGGAGTTCTTGAAGATAAATAAAGGAGTGCCTCGCGAGATCCTATCGCGAGCCATTAATTGTGGGAAAATGATCGATGTTACCTACAGATCCGGTGACGGGTACACTCGGCCCAAAGGAAAATTCACAGAGTATGTCGAATCATTGTTTGTCGACCACATGGATGCGTCTTTGAAACACTTGGTTCCACTCTAGCTCCTGTGATGCACCATGCATCTTCTTCTACCTTATGAGCTTTATTGAACATGTAATATGCACATCTAATTTTGTAAGTATGTAAGTTCCCATTACCAATGTCATCCTGTTCATACCATTCATGTAAATATGCACATCCGGTTGAAAGCCTTTTCCCATTGCTTGATCGAGGAATCTGCAATACATGCTCAGCTAGAAGGCACATCCCAAAGTTTCAAGACTTGCTCCAGCTATGGTTTCGAGGCGCTCCTCTCTAATTTTGTAAGTATGTAAGTTTCTTTTTCTCTTTGTACCGTATTTGTTCATCCCGATCTTTCTTGTCGTTGTGGCACTTGTTTTTTCTCTATGTAACCGTTATCAAAGTTTATAAAACAAGAAAATTTAGCAAACAAATATGCACATCTAATGCCAATAAACAGATCATTTAAGCATAGAACACCAAGGGCAGTCTCTGCAGCTGAAAACACCTTTAAAATGTAGGTAATGAAGCATGATAGATCGAAGAAAAACATATGTCCGAATGCAGACACATATCTCATTTTTTTAAAAAATAACACACAACATTTAGACGCTTTCTTCCCACAATAATTTCATTGAAGTACAAGATCAATTGGACAGTACATTCCTTAGGGAAATTTAAGGTACTATATATTGGTTAAAACCTAAGAGTATCTTCAACACTCTATATCCCACTCTGAAATAGAGCAAGAAAATAAAAAATAGAAAAATATATTAGAGATGGTCTAAACATAAACTTTATCGTCTTAGATATGGTAAGGTGTAGTATTGGTTTTTCTAACAAATGAAATGGTTATCCCGAAAGTCTCAAACCTTGTAATCATACATTTATTGCCAAAGAGGTCGCTACTAGTACTATCTACCTAAAATCCTGTTACCACCGCTACTAGTCGATTCACAGTAAAGAGTAAGGTGATTGTGATATCACTAATGAACGAGTCTAAATTCTGAGCTGAAGATCCACCAGGCGCCATGCATCAACGATCTTGCAGCGCGGTTCAGCTCCACCGCTCTCCTCCTCATAGTCACGGCTTCATGGATTAGTGTGTGTGTGACATTCGCAGAGTGATCATTGTGGATCGGACACTAGACAGTATATTTCTGAAATGAAAATTCGAAGGTATACATATGGTCGTTGATTCCAAAAATGAACTTTTATGCGCAAGATGATCACCGGCGGACCCACGTGAGTAGAAGGAGTGTTACTTGCACCACCTTAAATTATATAATTAAAATTTTTAAGCTTAAATCAATAGGATTATTTGGCTAATTTGGTTAAAGTTTATATTTGGCAAAAATATTTTCTGGGTCCGCCACTGAAGATGATCGTTGTGGACAGTATAATTCTTACACGCCACAATCGGAACACCAGCCACCAACCATCTCGGTCGTCGAGTTCCAGCCATATCTCCTAGAAAACGTCAACGTTTTGGGCCTTTTCCTTCGGCCTTGTCACCCATTGAGATATGATCCCTGCTTGACTCAATTAGTGGATTGTATTGCTACAAGACCCACAAGTTATAAGGATTTCCAAACTCTTGGTGAGTCATAAGAACGAAACACAAGAAGCAGAACATACGATTGTTGTGCAGCTTTATTTCAGATCTGACTAGCTAGCTAGTAGTACCTATTATACAAGTATGGTATAAACATAGTTAAGGATGTCTAAGCAGCGCAAGTGGCACAGGTGCATCCCTCACCACAAGTGCAACCCTTAGTAGAGGTTTGAGTTTGGGTCTTGGGACAGTTGCAAGGGTTACAGCCACAGTGCTCCCCACACGGACACGTGTTATGCTCTTGATCCCCACCAGATGCTTCGCTCATCATCTTGCACCTACATGGTATTGAACCACGTTTTTAAGATCACAACAAATCAATTATAGCTAGAGCGTATATATATATATATATATATATAATGAACCAACCTGCAAGATTCACCACCGGGACATGGAGAAGGGCAGCCACAACGATCGTTGCAGCTAGCGCTTGAGCTTCCTTTGCCTGTGTCTGCCATTTTTTTTCTTCTCTCTTTTTTCTCACTAGCTCTTCTTTTTTACATTTCATATAGATAAGAACACTGAGCGATGCAAGAGAACTGAATACGTGGCCTATATCAGGCAACATCTGCCATGTGGCAACTTCTCCTCTAACTCCAGTCGTGACGAAGCATGTTCTTACCAACCCGAAAAGTTAACTTTGTGTTTTTGTAATCTTGTAAAACTGTTGATGAGAACATCGTGATGAAGGTAGACCTTACTAGAGTTGTTTGACGTATTATGACTTTATTGTACTAGTAGTATTAAACTTTTCTTTTTTAGATTTTTCTAAAGTTAACAAAAGAGCTCAATTTTTAGTTAATTAACATAAGAACAATTTAAGGCTCTCTCTCTTATCGCTCTCGTATCTTTTAGAGAGAGAGAGTCTTCTCTATTTTCAGCTTTTTGTTTCTGGTTTCGACCAGATTTGTATATTGTTTTCGTTTTCGCTTTCTGCGATTCAATAATTTCCAGTTAGGTGCTGGACTTTTTGTTACCGGCTCAGTCCGGTTCGATCTCTTTCCATATGTAGCTCTTATCATCGATGTCTCCGTCTTCTTCTAAATTCTCTCTGTTTTCTCCAATTATCCGAGGAATAATATCTTCGTCACTCTCCTTTTGCTCAAGATATATGAGCAAAGAAGGATTCAAGTCTACATCAAGTTGGGTGTAGCCGGTGGTGGAGCTTCCACGGTGTTGGCATTTTCCGGAGAAATTTTGAAGCGTTCTTCATATGAATCCGGCAGATTTCGATGCTATGTTTGGATTGGATTGAAGATCGGCAGAAGGAAGGTAGATACAGATCGATCCATGGCTGATTGGCGGTGGCTAATCAGAATTATGGCGATTTCCGGCGAGGATTGACGGTGGCGTTGATATCTCGACGCGTGGGCTAAGAAGAACACGTATTATACACGTGTCAATAGCTAATTCATATGGGGCTACTTATGTTTATCTGTTTACTTTTAATCTCTGAATTAGTTTGGGCCGTTCTCGCTTGTATCCTTTTAATGGACCTTCTGTACTTGCCTTTGGGCTTTTAATGAAAACGTTGGCCGACAAAAAAATAAAATAAAATTTAGAAGCATTGGTGCAGCCTTAGAAGTTAGAACTAAGCTAATTTAAATTTAAAGTCCGGTTACAAATTGAAAAAACAATTCATGTAAACGAGTCAGGTGATTGTGATATCACTAATGAACGAGTCTAAATTCCGAGCCGAAGATCCACCAGGTGCCATCGCCAATCTTGCGGCGTGCTTCAGCTCCGTCGCTCTCCTCCTCATGCCCGCGGCGGCAGGTCCTTCTGTCACGGCCTCAATGCATCTCTCCACCTCTTCAACCTTAAGCTCTCCGTCAACAGCATCGTTCTTCATCCTTACTCCTATTCCAAACACATCCACAAGCAATCTGGCATCAAGCGGCTGATCTATCCAAGTCGGATACGCCACCACCGGAACACCAGTCACCACCGTCTCGATCGTCGAGTTCCATCCACAATGCATGACGAAGCAAGAGATCGCCATGTGGCTCAATATCTTCTCTTGTTGACCCCATTCAATTACAACCCCTTTACCTTCTTTAACCATCTCTTGCAAAACTTGGACATTTTCGCCTTTCTCCTTCGGCCTAATCACCCAAAGAAATGAAACTCCTCTGTTTTTCAATGCCTTTGCTATGATCTCGACTTGATTCTCCGATGATTTGAGTATGCTTCCGAAAGATATGTAAACAACTGAAGACCTAGCTTGCTTGTCAAGCCACTCCATACAAAAATCATCATATTTCCACATATCTAGGTTTTTTCCATCTTGGGTTTTGTCTTCTTCAATTCCCAACAGAAATGGAGAAACAAGAGGACCAATTGGGATTATAGGTTTTAAATCAGACATAGACTCGATTATCTCTGATTCGAGTTCGTAAAACGAGTTAACCAAAACCCATTGCACATCTTTCAAGCAATCTGCGAATTCCGCCATTAGCGTATTGACCTGAGCGCCATGAGAAGGTAACATCAATGATGGGAGATCTCGGACTTCCAACAGTGGTAAAGCTGGTAACTCCACTGTTTGATTCAGAACTTCAAGGTCGGGGAAAGGATTTGTCTTCATGTAGTAACGGTAATAAACGGAGAAAGCTCCACAAGCTTGGATCCAGAGGATTGCACAAGGAATATTATGAGCCGCGGCAACAGCTGGAACCCATGGGGTAAAAGGCACAGAGACAATGCAATCGAATCTCTTTTCTTCGATGATTTTTGACAAGTTCTTGGCTCCAACTTTTCTCAATGACTTTGCGAGAGTGTCGGGGTCTCTTGGATCGTCTTTAGGCAGACCGTCGGGGAAGAAGGCGAGGTCCACCGGTCTATGGGGTTCGTCGGCAGTGGAAGAGAGGAGGTCACGGGCTTGCTCAGTGGTGGCGAGAGTGAAGTGTAGGTTGGTTCGTGCGAGATGTTTGGCGAATTTGAGCATTGGATTTAGGTGACCTTGGAATGCTAATGCTACCATTAGGACATGTGTTTCTTGACCCACACTACTTCCCATTATTACGAATAGTTATTATTCTTTTTAATAGTAATTTAGAGGTATGGGACTTGAGTTTTGTATGATATTGTGAGCTCTAGTTGTTGTGGTATATATAACAATGGTTGTTCAACAATAGATTTTGCATAATTAATTAATATTGTGGAATTTGGTAATAAAATGTATCTATTGTAACTTTGTAAGTGATAACCCAATAAATGTTGGTCAATATATTCAAAATTAATTATGGGTGTTCTATATTCTTGTACAATTGTTAAAAAAAAATCATGTCCTTAGCTAATTACAAATTTTATTATATTAACAAAAAGTTTATATGCTATTCTGAAACATTATATATTTTCTAATTATATTTATGAAAGTGTTTGATAATATTTCAAAATTAATAAAAAAATGTAGATTAAGTAAATCTTCTAATTATATTTAATATCCTCAACAAAAGAAGAAAAAAACCAATGAAAAAGCTAAACTGGAATCAAATAGAATAATACACAAAAGTGCTAGAATATATTATATATAATATAATTATCAAGAAATCTACAATTTTAATTTGGTGAAGGAGATGGTATCCACACAAAAATGTAGGTAATGAATCATGATATATAATAACAAACAACTGGTCCATATTCCATTCATCAGTTTGGTTTTTGTAACAATTGATATCCGGGAAGTCTCAAACCTTGTATTCATACATTTTGTACTAATTGATTCCAAAGTACAGAGTTAGGCGATTGTGATATCACTAATGAACAAGTCTAAATTCCGAGCCGAAGATCCACCAGGTGCCAACGCCGATCTTGCGACATGCTTCAGCTCTGCCACTCTCCTTCTTATATCCGCGGCAGCTGGTCCCTCTGTCACGGCCTCAATGCATCTTTCTACTTCTTCGACCTTGAGCTCGCCATCGACAGTGTCATTCCTCATCCTTACTCCGATTCCAAACACATCAACAAGCAACCGCGCGTTAATCGGCTGATCCGTCCAGCTCGGGTATGCTACTACAGGAACACCAGCCACCACTGTCTCGATTGTTGAGTTCCAGCCGCAGTGCGTGATGAAACAAGAGATCGCCACGTGGCTCAAAATCCTCTCTTGTGGACTCCACTCGAGAACAACTCCTTGTCCTTCTTTCACCATCTCCTGCAAAACATCAACGTTTTGGGCTTTCTCCTTTGGCCTTATCACCCAGAGAAATGGAACTTCTTTGTTCTTCAGCGCCTTCGCTATGGTCTCGACCTGATTCTCCAATGATTCGAGCATGCTTCCGAAAGAAATGTACACAACCGAAGACCTAGCTTGCTTGTCAAGCCACTCCATACAACAATCATCAGATTTGCACAAATCTAGGTTTTTACCATCTAGGGTTTCATCCTCATCAGCTCCCAACAGAAATGGAGAAACAAGAGGACCAATCGGGATTACAGGTTTTAAATCAGCCATTGATTCTATTATCTCTGATTCGAGTTCATAGAACGAATTAACCAAAACCCATTTCACATACCTCAAACAATCAGCAAATTCCGCCATTAGATTATTGAAGTGAGAACCACCAGAAGGTAACATAAACGATGGAAGATCTCGAACTTCCAACAATGGTAATGCTGGTAACTCCACTGTTTGATTCAGATCTTCAAGATCAGGGAAAGAGTTTGTCTTCATGTAGTAACGGTAATAAACCGAGTAAGCTCCACAAGCTTGAATCCAAAGGATTGCACAAGGAATGTTATGAGCGGCTGCAACAGCTGGAACCCATGGAGTAAAAGGCGAAGAGATGACACAAGAGTATATCTTTTCTTCGATGATTTTAGACAAGTTCTTGGCTCCTACTTTATTCAATGACTTCAAAAGAGTTTCAGGGGCTCTTGGATCGTCTTTAGGCAGACCGTCGGAGAAGAACACGAGGTCCACCGGACTACGAGATTTTTCTACGGTGGAGAGGAGATCACGGGCTGGTTCAACAGTGGCGAGAGTGACGTGTAGGTTCTTTGATGATAACGAGAGATGTTTGGCGAGTTTGAGCATTGGATTGATGTGACCTTGGAATGCTAGTGTAACCATTAGGACATGTGTTTCTTGACCCTCACTACTGCCCATTCTTTTTATTTTATTTTCACTAATAGTTTAGATTTTCATGAAACTGTGAGTCATAATTTTAGTGGGGTTATATATAATACCAATGGTTGTTTAACGATGGATTTTGCTTAATGGAGACATAAAATGAGATTATGGTAAGAAAATCTATCTATAGTAATGGCTAACCCAGTCAAATGTTGGCAAATAGATTCTATATTATCCACTTTTTTACCAATTATGTTCATCTATTGGTCATCGGGTCAGTTACAAATCTTACCTTATTATTAACTAAATTTTTTAAATAGTGTGACACTTGACAGTTACGATTATCATACTTTGATATGTGTCAAAAACTTTCATGAGATTTTAACATCTGTTAAGTATTGTTTCTTTCTTTATAAAGTCCTTATTATAGTAAAAAAAAAAGTATGAAAGAATAGAATTGAAATTAATATACGGGAGATATACAATTAAAGTTTGGTCAACGATAAGATTTCCAAAATATATAAGGAATAAAAATAAAAATGTTTAGGTGGCATGTGCCAAATCAAAAGTTAATTTTCTAAATTCTATGAATGTAAAAGTAATTAGCTAAAACATAAATTTACTGATTCACTATGCGTTGGATTTTTACTGGATTCAGGTGTGAGATACACTAATAAAAAAAATATATAAACAGAAATTTACAATACGGTTTTTTTATAAAAAAAAGTCATCCATTGACATATTCGTCACATTAATTTCCACTAAACGATTTTTAAGGATAGTTTTGAGGAAAAAACACACTCAAAGGTTGAAAAATCAACAATCTGATACTTCGCTCATGACCTTTCAAAGAAGGCTACTTTGAATAGAAATAACAACGTGAGAAACAAGAAAAGTACATAGATAGATTGGTGGGGTGTCTGAACTTTTGAAACATCGATCAAGTATGATGCACCTAACAACTTTAATTTTCAACTAAAACTACTTCGACCGTTAATTTGGTATACGTAGTGTTATGATTTTTAATTTGAACAGTAGGAAAATTTATTTAAATGTGAATTCAGGTTAGAGATAAAAAAAAAATCACTTTATATATCTACGATCGCTACTATATATTAATTTTTAATATTGAACCCAAATTCAAAAGATTAATTCGAGTTTTGGTTTGGAATGTTGTCGGTTATAACTTAGGAAAATAGAACATTTATCATAAAATTTCTAAATTAAAATAAAATTATATAGAAAACTTATAATAAATATTTTTAAATTAAGTTGTTCTCAATCATAAAATATAATGGCACATGTGAAAATGGTTTAAAAAAATATGTAACAATTTATGTCATCAAAAATATGTTTTCCGTAATCAATCCTTAGAAAACTCTATCATAAAATATATTTGAGTTAAAGTGATCTACAGTGATTTTAGTATTCTTGAAGGAAGGTGGGGACATTAGGTTTGTCAGTTGTCACTTAATATGATATTAAACATATAATACCATACTAGATTTGAATTTCAAACATATTTTATGGTCTACAACTAAAACTCTGCTCCAAACAATCAGAGACAAAATTATAATCATTTTATTTCCTAAGACAGGGAAGAAACTAACTAATCTCCATTCTTCGTTGATGGCTTTTTTATTTTCGTAAATTATATATTTTAAAAATATAGGAAGACCAAGAACAAGAAGCAACCTCAGTATTTTCCCAGGAAGGAGCCTAAATTCAAATCTCACGTCTTGTTGAATTTTAAACTTATGAAGTCAAAAACTGAAAATGTCAAACTTTTCTTCTTCTTCAAGGCTCTCCACATTACTATATATTCCAACTCCAAGTCCACAAACTCCTCACAACAAATTTAGTCATCTCATAAATTAGTGAACACAAGAAAAAAAAAAAACATTTTTGTTTCAGTTACTCAAAAAAGCACTCAAAGAAAATGATGATGAACAAAGTTGTATTGGGTTCAATTCTGTTTTTCATGTTGGTTAGTTCGATTCTTGTGGTAGAGGCTCGTCCGTTGGGTTTAACGAAGGCCGAAGAGGAGCTCGTGGCTAAGTTCTTCGATGGTTTGTCACTTGGGGCGATCAAGGAGTCGGGTCCTAGCTCTGGTGGTGAGGGTCATCGGTTCGTGGATCGAAGTGAGACGCTTGGATATGGTAAGCACTCCGGTCCCAGCCCGAGCGGACCCGGTCACTAATTTCGGACCGGACCAGTTAAGGTGGCTGCTTTGGTCTACCTCCAGAAATTGATTTCTTGTTTAATTTATTTTTTCAGATTAATTTTTCTTTTCATGCTTAGAACTGAGGAAAATCAAGAATTGGTAGAGCCTCATTTGTTCTCTGTACGAATATTCTTTTGTTAATTATTGAAATTTATTTGATAATATTGTACAATGTAATATATTGTAATTAATTTATTATATATTCTGATTATATGAATAAATTACTGGATATTTCTGTTTTTAATGAGTTTCAATAACAACATAGTTAAGCATCAAATCCACAAAGCAAAAAGAAGGGACTTAATTTGAAAGTAGACACAACTAATTAACTGAGAAATATGAAATAGATATTCATAGAAAAAAAAATTAAGTTTCTTTAAAGCCTGGCTTCACCCTCGGGTATATACTACAAGAAAAACCTTGTTTTCCTACCGACAAAAATATAGGAAAATCGTTAAAACGTCATTTTTACCATTTTCCTACGATTTTCCTTGTTTTGTCGGTAAGAAAACAAGGTTTTTATCGAGTTTCTCACCGCAAGTTGGACATGAATTATTGTGACGGCGTAGCCATTGTCGAATACAATTACGGTGAAAAGTGTGCTTCTGCGAACACATTAACGTATGAAGGTTTAGGTAACGGTCTAATAAAAGCGCTTCTCCACAGATTATGCAATCTTCATCTAGACCTTCTTCGTAGTCATAATCACATAACTTTACCTCTTTAACAGCTACTTCCACTTCAACTTTAACAACGAAACCGCGATTTCCGTGGAAATTGAACTTACACCGGTGCGAGCCAGAGAGGATCAAGAACGTCGATGGGAACTAGAGAACAGGGTAACCAATTCTTCAGATAGTTTTCGAAAGATGTTGTTGCGGACGGAGCTGTGGATATTTGGCTTGGACAACAGGTTATACACATATCTAGTGCATATTTCCTCTCCATTATATAGGTAAACATTAGGAACCTCGGAAACGATTTCTACTGCTTCTTTTTCGATTCCTTGGATCCTTATTAAAACAGAGATTGAAGATTTGGAAGCGTCAGGGTACGTTGTAGATCCATAGTGCTTAACCTCCCATGAGCTCGATGCTTGCTTCTTCTGCAAGTTCTCTTCTCTCTCCTTCTTCCGAAACTCCACCATGTTATCCTCCACCATTCTCCGCTGAGCTTCATCCGCACTGATTAGGTATGGTCTAAGAAACCTGGTCAATCGCTTCATCGAATCAACCAGAAGAAAAAAAAAAATTCTGAAGGAATTGGTATTACTAATCACGAGAATGCCACAAGTTTGTGGCTAGAAAGTTTGATAATCAGTGCATAGCAAAGACTACTAAGCGTAATATATAGAGAAATATATTTTGATAAAAAGGAAATTAGGGTTTTGATTTAGATAGCCACAAGCTATGAAATTAGAAAATATAACAATTATCCACAACCTTTCTTCCTAGCTACTAGTATATTGCTAGGAAGAAAGGTTGTGGAGACTGCTAGACTCACCATCATCTCTGATTGCTCGCGTCTATAAGGCAAAGTACTATGCATCAAAACCGTTTCTGGAAGCCAAAATAGGGTATAGACCGTCATACGCATGGCGAAGTATTATGTTTGGTCGAGAGCTATTAGAGCGAGGACTCATGAAGTCTATTGGGAATGGACAAGACACAAGTATATGGGCTGATAAGTGGATTGTTGATGATTACCCAAGACGACCTATTAACAAAGAGCTCTTCATGGATTTGAACCTCCGTGTTGCATCTTTAATAACACCGCAGGGAGAATGGAACTTACCAAGAATGCAGCAGCTTTTCCCTCCCGGTGATGTGATCCAGATCAGCTCATTTCCTCCGGCAGTTAATCTTAAGGATAGGTTTGTTTGGGCTTATACTAAGGATGGCAAGTACTCTGTTAAAAGCGGGAACTGGGTCCTAAAAAGGGAGGCTACTTCGATGGAGGTGATATCTGATAATACTCAGGCCGTCAATTTGATAAAAGAGAAGGCATGGAACATAGTCACTGTCCCGAAAATCAAGCTGTTTTTTTTGAGAGCTCTTTCTGGTGCTTTGGCAGTGGCAGAGTGTCTTCGACACCATGGGCTACAAACTAACCCGATTTTCTCACTTTGTAGAGTTGAGGAAGAAACTGTGTCACATGTACTTTTTAAATGTACTCTAGCAGCTCAAGGTTGGCTTCTTTCTAGTTTACCAGCTCCAGCTCAAGGATTCTTTGCTTCGGTGATGGACAACATTCAACACCTTTTAAGTATAATGAAAGATGAGAGTATTCCTACCCATATCAGAACTGCAATTCCCTGGATCTTATGGGAAATTTGGAAAGCACGGAATTCGACTCTTTATGCAGGTAAACATAACGATGGCAACATTCTGCTAGCTACAGCCTTTGAGGAGGCAGAGGAGTGGATGCAACAACACCACAATCTTACACGTGATCAGCATGTTGAGACAAGGAGAAGCCCACATAATGTCCAACGATGGCTCAGGCCGGTTGTTGGTGTGTTAAAATGTAATGTGCACGCATCATGGGTTAATGATTCTGCTTTTTGTGGTGGATCTTGGATTTTACGAAATCACAATGGGGATGCTCTCTTTCATGCTTGAGACGCTTTTACTCCGATGTTCAATCGCATTGCTGCGGAACTCAAGTGTATCCTCTGGTCCTTACAAAGCTTACATGAGCTGCAAATTCATTCGTGTGAAGTATGGTCCGATTGTTCTGCGGTGATTTCAGCACTGCAGAAACCGGATGATTGGCCCAAGTATAGGTCTCAGCTTAATAAAATTTTACAAGTGATCCAGGTGATGCGGGAGGTCAAATTTATGCTCTCTTCACCGAAAGCTAACTCTGTAGCTAGGGAGATCGCTTGTAGTGTCACTAGGGATGGAAGATTGAGATCATACCTTGCGCTTGGAGGACCTTCTTGGCTGTAGGATTGCATTGCGAGAGATCGAGATCGAGGAGGGTAAGGTTTTGCTCCGGTTTTTCTGGCCTTGCAGGCCTCTGTTTTCTTCTTCATTGTTTTATTTCTCTGTTCTTGGTTGCTCTGTTTTTGTTCACTGTAACATTTATTGGTTTGTTCTTCGATTAATATATTCAGCGACAAAAAAAAAAAAAAACTACTAGTATATTGCTATATTTAAAAGGAAATAACGTAAATTCCCCAAGCTAACTTAAAATTAAATTTCTTATTTTTTTGGTTGAATCTTTTAGAAACAAAAGATTTATCTAGCGAAATTCACATTTCAATATTAAGAACTAACATTTAATAAGAAATTAATTTTCATTTTCTAATGAGAAATCATTCACATCATGTCATATTTTTATAGGAAAACTCCAAAAAAAAACTATTTACTTTTTGTTTGGACGTTTAATTTCCGAATTTTTTCGGTTTGAAGAAAATACACAATCTAATATGGGTCTGAATGGTAACAGCGTTTTTTGTTATGCGGGGAAAGCGGTATTATAGTGCGGTATGGTTCAACTGCGGTACGTACGGAAGAAAAGTATTTGCGGGACAAGTGCGGTTTGTACAAAATAAGCGGTGCGGAATAATGTTTAATTGGTGAAAAACTAATTTGCGGGATACATATATAATTTATAACGAATAATATAATTATAAATTTAAATTGTTTATTTATTGTTATTGAAATGATATTTTCATCTACTTACTTATGAACTTTAAAAAACAAAATCTATTTAGAATTAATTAAGCTGATTTTATTCATTAAAATCGTGAAAATACATTTTAAATGTAAAAAATACATCATAAGTGAATTTTTTTTTTTAAAAAATGGCATGTTTAAAAACTAAAAAGTAATCATTTATGAAAATTATTAACAACTTAAATTAAAAACATTTTTTTAGTAAAGTATGTTATTTGTTAAAATATGTAGTTGTTATTAAACTCCTTTATTAATCTCAAATAAATAAATAAAATAACACTATTTTGCTTTTCAGTGCGGAATTTGAGAAAACCACTAGGTAATTTGAAGTTGTTGTAGGTATATGCGTTCCATAGTGTAATACCCTGTCTTAAAAAACGCAAACAGTATTTTTCTTCTTTTATTGGAAAACGCAAATTATATGGAACTCATATGAAATCCGCACTTTTTAATGTCTCCATTCAAAGCCTATAAGTGTGGGATTGAATACCCAAAAAAATAAATCTGGTTATTTTCATACCCACCATCTCAAAACAAAAACAAAATTTCAGTTTTATCTTTACCATCTCAACTACTTATTAATTTTTAAATGACATGACATTAATTTTATTTTTATTTGAAAAAAAATAATTTTATCAATATTTTGATTTTATTAAATTTGATTTTTTAATTAAAAAAAAATTAGAAGAAAATCTTTAAAAAAATAATCTTCTTCTGTTCTTCAAACTTTCGTTTTCAAAAACGCTAATTTTGAATTTTGATAACAAAACAGAGCAAAGGGCCACCAACATAATGAGGCCATATTACAACATCTTTCGTATAACTCCAAATACTCTCTTCTTTCATCATCATCTTCCACCTCCGAGTCCGAGATCAGAATCCTAGACTATGGAATCTGCTGCTCTTCTACATTCTTCTCTAACTAGATTCTCTTGTCGTCAAAACTCCACTCTCCGTCTCTCTCGACTCAACTCTACCACTCTCCCCAGAGATGTTCTAATTCGCACCACTAACTCCAATACTCTTCCCCGAAGATCACTTCGTCTTTTTGCCAAAGCTGCGTGCGAAAACCATCATCACTATCACCATGAGCACGATCATCATCATCACCAAAACCATCACCAACATTGCTGTTCCGTAGAACTCACGGTATCTAATCATCTTCAGAAGTTGTTGCTCAAGTTCGCTAAAGCTATTGGATGGATTCGCTTAGCCAATTTCCTCAGAGAAAATCTCCATCTTTGTTGCTCATCCGTCGTACTCTTCCTCGCCGCAGCGGCCTGTCCTCACTTGATGATTCCTAAACCTTACATTACACCAATTCAAAACTCCTTCATGATTGTTGCTTTCCCTCTTGTTGGAGTAAGATTTCTCAACTTCTCTGCACTCTGTTTTTTCGACGAAACAGAACGCTAAAACAGAGTCGTTATTTAGATTTCAGCATCTCTTGACGCACTTATGGATATAGCTGGAGGAAAAGTGAACATCCATGTTTTAATGGCATTAGCTGCTTTTGCTTCTGTGTTTATGGGAAATGCTTTAGAAGGAGGATTGCTTCTAACCATGTTCAATCTTGCTCATATCGGTACGATTACGAACTTGTGTAATTCTAAGGTTTCATGATATGTTTTCGATGAAGTGTTGTGACATTTCTTTTATGTAGCTGAAGAGTTTTTCACTAGTAGGTCCATGTTGGATGTTAAAGAGTTGAACGAGAGTAATCCAGATTCTGCATTGGTGATTGATGTGAATGATGAAAATGTACCAAACTTCTTCGATTTGACATACAAAAGCGTACATGTGAAGAATGTAGAAGTTGGATCCTATATTTTGGTAGGAACTGGTGAGGTATGTGTGAAACTCTGTCTCTCTGCTTTCGATTTCTCGATATTCTTAAACTCTTAATACAGGATTTTACTTGAATTTAGATTGTGCCTGTGGATTGCCAAGTCTATCAAGGTAATGCAACCATAACAATTGAGCATTTGACTGGGGAAGTGAAGCCATTGGAAGCAAAAGCTGGAGATAGAGTTCCTGGTGGTGCAAGAACTTTGAATGGCAGAATTATTGTGAAGGTATATATATTTTGTAGCAAAGTACTTTAGCTTGGTTTATTTAGAACTCTCAAGGTGATGGTTCTTCAATGGACTATAAACAGGCTACAAAGGCGTGGAATGAGTCGACACTTAACAAGATTCTACAATTGACTGAGGAAGCACACTCTAATAAACCCAAACTTGAGAGATGGCTTTATGAGTTTGGTGAGATTTATAGCAAGGTGGTGGTTGTTTTGTCAGTTGCTATTGCCTTCCTTGGTCCGTTCTTGTTCAAGTTGCCGGTTCTCGGAACCACAGGTATAGTGATCCTTTCCTTTTTTTGTTGAGATTGTTTTTGACTAGTTACTTTGATTTGGTTTCTGTTTGATGATGGACACAGCATGTAGAGGATCAGTTTACAGAGCATTGGGATTTCTGGTGGCGGCGTCACCGTGTGCCTTGGCAGTTGCTCCATTGGCTTATGCTACTGCAATAAGTTCTTGTGCAAGAAAGGTATAATATGTGTGTCAAGTGACAGTTGTGATGACTAAACAATGCATATGTCTTTTATTGCTTGGTAGATGTATCTTCATGTGTAAGATGTGCATTTTTTTGTAGGGAATATTGCTGAAAGGTGGGCAAGTACTGGATGCTCTAGCTTCTTGTCATACTATTGGTTTTGATAAAACCGGGACCTTAACAACCGGAGGCCTTACATGCAAAGCAATTGAACCCATTTATGGGCATCATCAAGAAGGAAATAATGAAAGTGTAAATCCTTGTTGTATGCCAAATTGTGAAAATGAAGCATTAGCTGTAGCAGCTGCTATGGAGAAAGGTACCACACATCCTATTGGAAGGTATATATTGCTTGTTCAACAGAATCAAACTCTATCTTTTCCTAAATCATTGATGTTTATGACACATACCATATTTTTGCAGAGCCATGGTTGACCACAGTGTTGGGAAGGACCTCCCTTCTGTTTCTGTTGAAAGCTTTGAGTATTTTCCTGGTAGAGGCCTTACTGCTACTGTTAACTGTATTGAGGTACAAGCATATTATCTACTAGATAATGTGACATCTATATCTAGTGTTGTCTCTCACTACAACTTTTATTGCTTTGCTATAGTCAGTAACCGAAGGTAGGAAACTGCGGAAAGCGTCACTTGGTTCAGTAGAATTCATTACTTCGCTCTTCGAATCACAAGATGAGTCTAGAAAGATCAAGAATGCTGTAAATTCTTCATTGTACGGAAATGACTTTGTTCATGCTGTTCTTTCACTTGATCAAAAGGTAACATTGATTCACCTCGAGGATCAGCCTCGTCGAGAGGTATCAAAAGTTCTAACAGAACTTAAGAGCTGGGGTAAAATGAGAATAATGATGTTAACTGGAGACCATGAGTCAAGTGCTTGGAGAGTTGCAAATGCTGTGGGTATTGATGAAGTCTACTGCAACCTAAAACCAGAAGACAAACTTGATCATGTCAAAAACATCTCAGAAGGTTCAGGTGAAATTATCTTCTCAAAAATAGATATAATGTTATAGAAGAACCATAAGTCTAAAACTAAATTCAAGAGATTGTTTTTGGTTTAGGTGGAGGAGGTTTAATCATGGTGGGAGAAGGCATTAACGATGGTCCAGCTTTAGCAGCTGCAACCGTAGGAATTGTTCTTGCTCAACGTGCAAGTGCCTCGGCTATAGCCGTTGCTGATGTCTTACTTCTTCAAGACAACATCACTGGTGTTCCTTTCTGTATCGCCAAATCCCGCCAAACAACATCACTGGTCAAGCAAAACGTGGCTATTGCGTTAACCTCGATATTCTTAGCCGCTCTTCCATCAGTTCTCGGATTTCTTCCCTTGTGGTTGACGGTAAATCATAGCTACTCTCTAAAGCTTTTAAAACAGTTTCTCTAAAGCTTTTAACACATATCTTTGCATTAGGAATCATCATAGGTACTATTACATGAAGGCGGAACACTTCTCGTTTGCCTTAACTCGATTCGCAGTTTAAACGATCCATCCTGGTCATGGAAACAGGACATTGTTCATGAACTTCACCTCAGCAAAACCCATCAGCAACATAAAACGTATAGAGATGGGAATTGATAACTAAGTGGTTTGTACTAGTACCGTCGCATAATCGCATTAGGACATCACAAACTTTGTTCTCATGAACACTTTTATGGACCAATTTCATCAAATCTAAGACATGTAATGATCAAAATCAATACATTTATTCAGTTTTATTCGAATGAATTCAATCTCAAATCATGAAATTAGCCCTCTTTCTCTGCATTTGCTACACAATTCTTCGCGCATTTTCGACTGAAAAACGATTTGATTCATCTCTTCTTTCTCACTACTCGATCTTACCTATTCCAATAAACTCTCTAAACCCTACATTACGACCATTAGTTCCTTGCACCATACACGAACTACCTCCTCCTCCGCCGCCAGTTCCTCCGCCGTTCCCTCGCTGTAAATCCGCCATATAATTCCTAACCTCCGTCTTAATCATCTCATGCACCACCGTCATAAAATCTCCACCAAATCCAGAAATCTCTCTTTCCTTCTCCTCTACCTCTCTCTTCACCGGAAACAACTCCACCGGAGTTGACTCGTTGACCCAAGGCAAAGACAAACTCAAACAAGTCATCGGATCTTTCTTCTCCTCCGACGACGATGACTCAATCACCACTCCACCAGCTCTCGCCGTCGGTTTAATAACATGAGAAGAAGAAGAAACCGGCAAAACAAATCCACTAGATTGCGATTGCTCGCTGACGTCAGATCCCGTTGGACTTAGCGCCGTCAACACAATTCCTCCACCTCCTCCACTCGCCGTCCGTTTTAACGGCTTTTCATCTGTTAAATTACCATCATACCCTCCATTACCACCGAAATCACAACTCTGCCCTTCCTCTCCTCCGCCACCGCCGCCGCCGCTACATTTCCGCTTCAGCGTTGAGTTCCAATGATTCTTAATAGCGTTATCGGTGCGACCATTGAGAAGCCGTGCAATCGTAGCCCACTTGTTACCGAACCGAGCGTGCGCTAGTATAATCGTATCGTCTTCCTCCGCCGTGAATCCACGGTGTTCAACCTCCGGAGATAGCTGATTACACCACCGGAGACGGCAAGATTTACCGGAACGCCCAGGGATTGATTTGCTTATCAGAGACCAGTTCCTTGGTCCGTGCTTTTGAACCAGCGTTTGTAACAGATCGTCTTCTTCAGGACTCCATGGTCCTTTGATCCGATCCATTTCTTTCCGGGTCGAACCAGCCATCGTCGGATCTTTTTTATATTTTAAAATAATCAAATCGTTTAAAACGCGTTTCTTTTGTTTGTGGATTTGGAGAAGAAAGAAACGATTTCAGAGGATAAGTGTGAAGAGAAGAGAAGTATTTATACGAGATGTGATGGTTAGAAAGGTCACCGGTTCTACCGGTAACATTTTATCGTTATTTAACAAGAACTTAAATTAACTAATTTAATTTTTTAGTAACTGTTGATTGGATTATTTATGTACATTATGTTTTTAAGATCTGCAACCGAATCAAATTTAAATAGTAAGTAAACTGAAACATAACTAAAATTTAAATATATGTCGTTTGGTTTTATTCGGTTTTAAAATAGAAAATGTTTAAAAAAATTATTTTATTTAACTATATAGAATGTTTTACGAATTTTTATGCAAATTTTAAATATATTTGATATTTTATAATTTTATGTTTTTACAGGCTTTTTATAAATGGTGAAAAAATTAAATTAAATACTAAATAAAAAAATTTTAAAAAGAAAATTTAATGTATGTATTTTAAATCAGAACATCATATATTTTGAAACATATAAAGTAGTAGTTAAAATTCTAAGAAGTAAAATTTAGATAGCACCAAACAGAAGTATTTTCTTATAACCAAACAACCTAAACTAAATAAACTAAACTTCATTAAATTTATTGACAAAAAAAAAAACTTCATTAAATTTATATTCTACTAATCTACTATTATATAAATTATTATGTATTTATATTTCTAACTAGAAATATATAAACTAAAATATCAAATATTAAATAATTTTTATGTAGTTTAAATTTTTGTAAAACTGTTTAAAATTTTTAAGTAGTAACTTTAATTTTTCGTAATATTTAAATTTAATTAATTAAGTATGAAGATGTAACGTGAGTAGTCTAAAAATAGAGAAATTGTTAAAAATACCCCTTTTTCAATACCCCTTTTCAAAAATGCCCCCTTTGAGAGTCCATTTTTAAGTTTGCCCTCTTTTAATTTTTAATGACCATTTTACCCTTATTTGAAACAAAATTAGGTCCACAAAATACAAAATATTTTTTGGCGGGAAAAGTAATCCCGCAATTTTCCCGCCAAAACACTTGTAAAAACCTTTTAAAAACCTTGTAAAATTTTCCCGTAAAAATTTTTCCCGCCAAAAAATTTTTTTTGCGGGAAAAGTGATTCCGCAATTTTTTTTGCGAAATTTTTTTGGCGGGAAAATTTTTGGCGGGAAAAATTTACAAGGTATTTTAAAGGTTTTTTACAAGGTATTTACAAGTGTTTTGTAAGGTTTTACAATGTATTTTAAAAGGTTTTACAAGGTACTTTTAAGGTTTTATAAGGTATTTATAACTTGTAAAACCTTATAAAAAACTTGTAAAACCTTATAACTTGTAAAAACCTTATAAAAAAGCTTGTAAAATCTTATAATATCTTATAAATACCTTGTAAATACGTTGTAAAACCTTTTAAAATACATTGTAAAACCTTATAAATACCTTGTAAAAAACCTTTAAAACACCTTGTAAATTTTTGGCGGGAAAAATTTTCCCGCCAAAAATTTCACGCCAAAGAAATTGCGGAATTAATTTTCCCGCAAAAAAAATTTTTTGGCGGGAAAATTTTTTGGCGGGAAAAAAATTTTTACGGGAAAATTTTACAAGGTATTTTAAAGGTTTTACAAATTTTTACAAGCGTTTTGGCGGGAAAAATTGGGGGATCACTTTTCCCGCCAAAAAATATTTTGTATTTTGTGGACCTAATTTTGTTATATTTCCTTATATATTTATAATATCTTTTATTAAAAGAAGGGTAATTTAGTCATTTTGTACATAAAAGGGGTATTTTTAAAAATGGACATCCAAAAGGGGCATTTTTGAAAAAGGGTATTGAAAAAGGGGCATTTTTGTGAGTCTCCCCTAAAAATAACACACCGGCTTGTAATAATTGTAACGTATTTGAATATAAAAGAAAAAAAAAAAAAGAAGAAGAAGCACGTCAGCGATTGGCGGTGCGATTGGGGAAAATGCGTCTGAGAGTGACGTTAAAAAAAAGAGAGAATCTTTCCAAGAAAACGGTTGGGGATTTGGGATACAGCTGTTTAGTGGACATGTGTCAACTGAATATGTAACTGTGTGTGATAGAGAGAGTACATTTGTGGTACTTGAGAGAGCGTTTCACAGGTGGAGCGTTTCGTTTTCTCATTTTTTTTCCTTTTTTGTTGTGTTAAAAAAAAAAACATTTCGTTTTCAATTAAAAAGCACTAACGCAAAATTGTAATTTGCGTATTTAAATTGATGTATCTATACATATTAGAAACGTATAAGTAAAGTATCCATACTTATTGAGTGATTCCAGTTTCTTGATTTTGTATTTTTGATTAAAATGAAGATAAGGATGACGTTAAAAAGGGGGTTTAGGTTTTTTGTTGGATTCTTCAAAGACTTTTCTGACTAATAAGGAAGCCAGCCTGTATACCATTATTATTACTTTTTTTTTATATACAAAAATCAGTTATTTTGGATATTCAAAAATAAGATGCTTACGAAAACGACAAGTAGAGAGTTTTCAGAGCCTATCGTTACTATTCTTGTTATAATTTGTTAAAAATCGTTACTTCTCTTTTTATAATTTATTTTCACTATTTAAATCTCTAACAAGAAAAAAAAAAATTTGTCAAAATTCTAACTTTCTTGTTTTCATTCAATCACTCAAGAGCATTTAGATCTAAGTGCATTACTACAAGACTTGAAAGAACAATTATTTTGATGTTTAAAACAACAAGGTTTTTAATTTCTCGTAGTACTAATGTTAAAGCGGATAATCTGGCACGAAAAGTTCGTACAGAACCGCTTTATATCACATATGTAAACAACATTCCCCAAAAATAGCTCTTTTGAGCTATAAGTAGTTTCGGATGACAAAAAAAAAAAACAACAAGGTTAAAAATGGTAACAAGTGAAATTTGATAATCTGACGATAATTCCATAATAGTTCGGAGAAAAAAATTGTAAAACACGTCAAAAACTAACTAAAACAAAAGAATTCTTCCATTTTTTAAACAAATCAAATTCTTTTTTTTTTCTTATGTGACTTTTCTTTCCTTCTATTTATTCTATTTTGATCGAGTTGAATCAGAATCAGCAAGATAAGCAGCCGAACGTTAAGGAGGTGAACCAGAGCAGTGTGCTTGTGCTGAAGAAGGAGACTTTGGAGAAGTACTCCTAATGGGTATGGGTTGAAGACCATATCCACGGGCAAACAGATCACAATTACAAGTACCTGGGAGCATACCGATGGAATGAACGAAATACGAACCTCATTACCGATTGATAGGGGAGGGTACCTCGGGGGTTACCTCGCGACAACTTCAAATAAACGTTTTGATTTGTCTTTCTTCGCACTTGAATGACCTCATTGTCACTTCATCCCTCTCCTTTCAGTCGAGTCACTTCGTACCTTTCAGCTCTATCAGCAGGCCCTTTCTTTTGCAATACTTAAGAAGGTGGGAGGATCCGAACGAATTCTGCTTTCATTTCCCCGGTATGGAGCACTGAGTCCCGACTCTACGAACCCGAGGAAAGGCTGCACAGCAGTAGTAAGGGCGTTAAGACCGGAGTTTGTGTTCTTATTTTTCTTTAGCAGTGAATAGAGAGTGCCATGGGAACAAATACACGGTTTCTTATAGATTTTACTTATACAATTCCGAAAAAGATTGAACATGATGAAGATCTCTTGTAAATTACAATATACAATTCCAAAAAAATGTGCAGGTATTGTCATGATTAAGATAAAACTGAAGATGTTGCTATATAACTTTGAGAACATGATAAGTTAAGTAATCAAAATTCCTATAAGCTATAACATCTCTAAAAGATTTATGTCGAAATAAAGTCCCTTTTATTTGTCGTTTTATTTGTTGTCAACATACTCATCTACCAAGGAATACGTTAAACCGTACATCAGCCGTGTACCGCACAAAAACGTCGCACATGTTCCAATGCCAAAAGGGACCTTCGTGAGCTTCCTCGTTCTCTTCTTTCAAGTAATAATTAGATAAAGAGAGATATTGAAAAGAGTTCTTAAGATTCTGTCTAATTATCTTAAGATTTAGGACATAGATTAATCAAGAAGGTGTCATCAATGGAGATACGGAATGAGATTTTCCCTTATTGGTCCATCGTATCTACTACCAAATTCTTCCTTCCTTCCCATAATTGTATACTTACCACTAATTATTTGCTGATATTTAGTATTTATGTAGTAGTATTTTCTTATTCAAATATAATGACATTGACCAAGTAAAATGTATTCCACAATTTAATATTGTGTGTGGTCCGCAATTGTACCTTTACTAGATCATAACCCGTGCTGGAACAGCACAGATGAAATTTTAATTTTTAATTATTTATATAAAGTTGGATTATTGTTTGTTTTATAGTACAATTTTAATAATTTTTTACATATACAATGACATATAAGGATTTTTTATTTTTTTTGATGAGAAAATATTAGGGGTGGGATACGGTTTTTCGGTTTAGTATCGTTTTTTTCGTTTTATAGAAAAGTGAAACCATATAGAAACCGTATGTAATTCGGTTTAGTTACAGTTCGATTTTTACGATTTTTTACTTTTTTTTGGTTAAAAATAAAACGTATGTATTTGATATATGCTGGTAGTAAGTGAAAAAAAAAAGCGTATATAATAAACATATTTTGGTATATAATAAGATTAAATTCAACCCGTGCGTACCTATATTTTTATTTTAGAATCCCAATGAAAAAATTGTGTGCACAATCCATCATTCATTATTTTCATATACACTTATAGAATCAAAATTTTAAATATTTAGAGGTGTCAAACCTTATTTAACTCATCTCATCATATAATCTTAACATGGTTTCGGTTATAAAGATCATAACTCTTTTTATCATATAATATATTACATTTAACATGCTGCTTGCTATAAATATTTTAAATATTTATGCTTTGAAAAATAAAATTAGAGTATTTATGACTTTTATCTTTTGATTTATTAAATATTTATGATATTCTTTAAAAATTATATTAAACTATTTTTAAATTTT